CCCCCTCCCCCCGCCCTGCCTCTCCTCCTCCACAGAGACGGTGGAAGGAGGTGCAGCGCATTGGGAGTTGTGTTTACACAGCTGCCGTGGGAGAATGCGCTGCACCTCCTTCCACCGTCTCCGTGGTTACCAGCAGCATCTTCGTCCCGTTTTGGTCTCAATCCGTAATAAAAAGGAATGTTCTTCCTGCTTTTCCCCTCCTCTCTGAGCACCCCCCACGCACCACCGCCACTGTCCTGGGATCTGTTTCCTTTTGCTTTCCTCTCGGAGTTTCATCTCGATCCTTGTCCCCTTCAGGTGGAGCCTGACCCTGCGGCCAATTTGCCTTTTAACCTGCGGCTGACGGAGGAGGAACGTGAGGCACGGAAGCAGGTCCCCCTGCCCTATCACTTCAGCACAGAGAAGTAAGTCAGCACGGAGCTCATAGGAGGCCATTCAGCCCCCTACTCCTCGAGCCTGTCACTCAGGAACAGGAGGCCATTCAGCGCCCCCCTCCTCGAGCCTGTCACACAGGAACAGGAGCCCATTCAGCCCCCTCCTCGGGCCTGTCACACAGGAACAGGAGGCCATTCAGCCCCCTCCTCGAGCCTGTTACACAGGAACAGGAGGAGGCCATTCAGCCCCCTCCTCAAGCCTGTTACACAGGAACGGGAGGCCATACAGCCCCCCTTCCTTGAGCCTGTCACACAGGAACAGGAGGCCATTCAGCGCCCCCCCCACTCCTCGGGCCTGTCACACAGGAACAGCAGGAGGCCATTCAGCCCTTTCCTCGGGCCTGTCACACAGGAACAGCAGGAGGCCATTCAGCCACCATCTAGAGCCTGGCACATAGGAACAGCAGGAGGCCATTCAGCCCTCTCCTCGGACCTGTCACACAGGAACAGAAGGAGGCCATTCGGAACCCTTCCTTGAGCCTGTTACACAGGAACGGGGGTCCATTCATCCCCTCGATGCTAGCCCGTTATTTTCCTGGATCACAGCCAATCCTGGGACTGAACTCTAGCTTTGCCTGCTATCCCTTTGAAGAAGAAAGATCGAACGATCTGGGATTCATCACGGCTTTGGCAGTGGGCCTCTCCGAACCCTTTTGTGCGCCGCGCTCTCTCTCCTCTCCTGTGCAGCCCTGGTGGGGTCTGCCTCGGGGGGGTTTTGAGCTCACTACCACTGCTGTCTGGGATGGCCAGCCGGCCAGAATGGTTTCTCCCTGTCGATTGGTTTAAAAAAGTGCGAAAATCCGCACAGGATTCCCATGCTGCCCTGACGTGGTTCCTGAGAGCTGCAGCTAAGCTGGAAGCTAGCCCCATCTGGAAGGACCGAATGGCTGCGTTGCTCTGAACCCATCACTGCCCCTTCTCTCAGGGTTTGGGAATTGCTAAGACAGGGAAGCAGAATTCCTGACCCCACCCCCCACTCCATTCTCTCTCTCTCAGCTGCCTGTCGCTTACTTCTCCTGCAGAAAGATGTCGCTGTTACATGGAGGACCTGGTGACAGCAGGATATATTACCAACCGGACGACGCTGATGACGTGGATGAGGAGGATCCCGACGATGATCTGGATTTCTAGGAGAGAGGCAGCACGAGGGGACCCAGATCACTGTCCTGTCCCCAAGACTCACTGGGGTACGGGCTCCCACACACACTGACTCTCACTGGGGTTACAGTCCCCCACACACACTGACTCTCACTGGGTTACAGTCCCCCACACACACTGACTCTCACTGGGTTACAGTCCCACACACACTG